CAAGAAGGTAGGTTCAAACCTGACTATATCAATAATCACATTAAATGTAAATTGTATAAATCTGTTTCTCAATCTGGTTAATACTGACTATTTATACTAGATAATTCTTTATTGTGGGGGCTGTCTTGTCCATGTAGGATGTTTAATAGAATGCCTGGCCTCTACCCCTTGGGTACCAGTAGCACACTCCCATCCTTAGTTGTGACCACCAAATATGTCACCAGACATTGCCAGATGTCCCAGAGGGACAAAATCTTCTCTACCTTCATTGAGAACCACTGATATAAACACCCCAATTGAAATGTAGGTATTGTCAAGATTGGATAGAAAGCAAAATCAAATTATATGTTCTCTACAAGAAATGCACTTTAAATATAAAGACACAAATAGGTTTTAAAGAGTAAAAGAATGAAAAATATGTACACCATGCAACCAGTCAAAAGAAAGCTAGAGTGGCTATGTTAACATCAAACAAAACAGATCTCAGAGCAATAAATACTTCCAGGGATAAATAAATTGATTTCATAATAATAAAGCCATCACTTAATCAAAAGCATAGCAATCTTAAATGTTTATGCACCTACAGAGCTTCAAATAGAATATCAAGGAGAAATAGATAAATTAACAATTATGGTTGGAGATTAGTACCCTTCTCTCAATATTGATCACAGAAGTAGGCATACTACCAGCAAATATATGATAGATTTGAGCAATAGTATCAACTGACAAGATCTAATTATTCATTAGGGAACACCCCACTCAACAGAATACACATGCTCAAGTGCACAAGGAAGTATTTCCCAAATTGGACCACATTCTGGGGACAAAACAAGTCTTAACAAATTTTAAAAGAACTCAAGTTATACAAAGTATGTTTTCCCACCACAGTAGAACTAGAACTAAGAAAAATCCTCAAATACTTTCAAACTAAATAATACACTTCTAACTAATCAGATCAAGTAAGAAATGAAAAGACTAATTAAAAGGTATTTGAGCTTAATGAAAATAAAGACATAATATATAAGAATTTGCAGGATGCCGCTAAAGCAGTATTTGAGTAAAATTCATAGCACTAAGTGCCATGTTAGAAAGAAGAAAGGTCTCAAATCAATCACCTCTGCTTCCACCTTAATTTTAAGAGAAGAGCAAATTAAACCAAACTAAGCAGAAGGAAATAATAAACTCAAAGCAGAAATCAATGAAATAGAAGATACAGGGGGGAAACAAGCTGGTTCTTTAAGAAGATTAATAAAATTCATAAGCATCACCAGACTCATCAAGAAAAAAAAGAAAAAGACACAAATTACCATGTCAGGAATGAAAGGGGTGACATAACTACAGAGTCTATAGCCATTCAAAGAGTATTAGGAGAATAGTCTGAACACACAACTGATTTTTTGACGAAGGGGCTTAGGTAATGCAGTGTTTTCACTCTAAGTGAAAAGAATAATTAAAACTGCAAAACAGTGATCCTCCAAATATAAATCATAGAATGCTACAGGATTTTGAATAGATGGTAGAAGTATAAAAAGGTGGACCCTGTTTAAATATCCTGTAGAAAAGTAGACTTCATGTCAATGTTTTCCTATGAATGTCATGTGCATCAAACTTTTGGAGCCAACGACAAGGAAATCCACAGCATTTGGCTATTTAATGAATAATATTTAAATAATCATAATGTAAATACAGTTTATCATTTTCATCTTTTAAGGAAATATGGTTATTGTTGCAGAATGTTATCAAGGTTGACAATGTGAAAGTAAACTTGACAAGTGGGGAGGGGAATGTAAAGCAGGAAAGAAGTTAGTAAGTGGAAAGGTAGTGATGTGAGGTCCTTATAGTGGCAAGTTAAGAAATGCTATCTGTTGTTGAGGGGGGGAAATATGATGTTTTATTACTTACATAGTGGCCATGAAGTAGCTGAAATCATAATATAACTACACTGAAAAGATGAGTGAGGAGAATTGTATGAAGTCAACAGAAAATGTCCAAAAATGGGGAGTTCATGCAAGAAGTCTCAAAGGAAAATTGTTAGAGCACTTGATGTATTTAATGTACCAAGAGATTTTTAGTTTTTCTAGAGATTTGGGAGATGAATTAATGATCTGTAGATAAAAAGAAAAAAGCTGAAGGAATTGTGAACCCAGGAAAAAGTACAAGTTGTTCAACACAGCATGCCTCAACATGCAACTAATACTAGTCATATAAAGTCAATCATAATTGCATAGATACTGAATATCCATTTAGCAAGAAATGATTATATAGCACACTGGGGGGCTGAGAGGGGGCATATGTATAATGGAGAGAGTCAATATCTAAGGTAGATAAGAAAAAACAGTAAAAATAAATTATTCAATAAAATGGAGATAACTCTCTGCTGTTCCTTACCAAAGCTAAGTGGCTTCTCTAGACAGACAAATTGAGTAGAGAAAAGGTAGAAAAAAGGAGGGAGACCATTGTTTTTCTGTTATCAGCCTAAGAGTAATTGGTTGATCCTTTGAGTTACATATACCTTAAACAATATTTAATAATTAACTAAAAATGGATCATAGTCCTAATTGTAAAGCTTAAAGCTGTAAAGCTTCCAAAAGAAAATATGAAGAAAAATCAATGTGATCTTTGATTAGGCAGAGACCTAGTAGATAGAACACCAAAAGCATAATCCAGAAAATATTTTCATAAATTGGGCTTCAGAACTTAACATTATCTTTTGAAAAGCAGAAATTTTAAGTGAATAAAAAGACAAGCCACAGATAAGGAAAAGTCATTACAAAACATGGATCTGTTGAAGAATTTATATCTAGAATACATAACAAACTAAAAACAATAAAAAACAAACACATTTAAAAATGGCAAAAGCTGTGAACCAGCACTTCACTGAAGGAGATTATATTGTTGGCAAGTGTGCACGTGAAGACATGTTGAACATCATTAGTTATTAGGAAATGCAAATTAAGACCACAATGAGATACTACTACCACCTATTAGAATGGCTATATTAAAAAGACTGACCATATCAAGTCTTGAAAAGGATGAGGAGGAAGTGGAACTTTTGCTAGTGGGAATGTAAAGCTTTACATTTGGGAAACAGTCTGATAGTTCCTTAAAATGTTAAACGCATACCATATCACCCCATCATTCTACTCCTGGGTGTTTACCCCAGATGAAAAGGAAATACGTACATGAGTGACTTATACACAAGTGTTTATCACAGCTTTATTTGTGGTAGCCCAAAACTGAAACAACCCAAGTGCCCATGAAAAGATGAATAAGCAAATCTTATCTATATCATGGATTACTATTCAACAATACAGAAGAATGAACTGTATACGCACAGCATGGGAGAATCTCAAAATAATTATGCTGAATTAAAGAAGCCAGACCTCCCCATCCCCAAAAAAAAAAAAAAGATGTACTTCATGACCCGAACTCCAGAAAATGCAACCTATAGTGACAAAAAAAAGATCAGTTTCTTGGGTGTGAGGGTAGGAGATAGGGGGGTCAGGAGGGAAGGACTGAAAAAGGGACACAAAGAAATTTCTGGAAATAATTACTATGCTCACTGTCTTGACTGTGGGGATGGCTTTACGTGTATACATATGTCAAAATTTATCAAATTGTACACTTTATGTGCAGCTTAAGTCAGTTATACCTTGATAAGACTTAGAAAACAAAAATAACTTGATAATGTCCCAGAATTACAGAGGAAAGACTGCAAATTGGGAAGCCTTATTGAGTGCCAAACAAAATAGAAAAGGAAAACCCAAACCACATAAAAACATTGTGAGTTATGAGAACAATAAAATGAAAATTCTAGAAGCTCTTAGAGAAAGGGTACGGATCACTCATAATGTTAAGAATCAGAGTGATGTTAAGCTTTTCAATGGCAGCATCTTGGCAAGATGACAAATGGAGTAATACTTTCAAAGTCTTGATTGAAGAGCCTCAACAAATCGAAAACAGAATTACAGTGATTCAGCAATTTCACTTCTGGGCATATATCCAAAAGAAATGAAATCCACATCTTAGAAGAGCTATCTGCACTTCTGTGGTCACTGTAGCATTATCCACAGTAACCAAGACACAGAAACAGCCTCGTGTCTGTCAATGGATGAGCAGATAGAGAAAATGTGCTACATGTATGTGGTGAAATATGATCCATCCATTTAAAAAAAAAAGGAAATCTTTCCATTTGAGATATGGATGAACCTGGAGGACGTTATACTAAGTGAAATAAATGAGACTACATAGTATTTGTCTTTGGCTTATGTGTGGAATCTTTAAAAAATTCATAGAAACAAGTAGAGTGGTAGTTGCCAGGGATGGCTTGGGGTGGAGGAAGCCAGATGATGTTGGTCAGAGGATACACATTTTCATTTATACCATAAGTTCTGGGGATCTAATATACAGCATAATAGCTACAGTTACTATTGTATCATATACTTGAGATTTCACAATAGGGACAAGATGTGTGGGTTATATATAAAAACAAACAATATAGTGAAGATGTTCGAGAAAACAAAAAATATTTAATGGATGTGGTAGCCACAAAACAAAACAGAAAGCAAACATATTTGTTTTCTCAAACCACAAGGCAGTGAAAAAATTAGGAAAATATATTGCAGTAAATATTAAAATGACAATTTGAGATGAAACATGCAGAAATGCACCAAGAATGAAAGGATAAGGAAGAAAGACAAATACACTAATGGACTAAAAGGGAAAGTTCAGAAGATGACTCTCTGTCTAGGTGAATTAGCTTGGGGATGGGAGAGGAATTTGGGCCAGGTTATTAAGTTTTTAAAGAAGAAGAACCAGAGCTACTTGGAATTCTTGTGAACAGTTCTTCTAAAACCTTTGAATTTGTTCCTGGGCTCCACGCCCAGTTTACAAAATGCCTACAGCTCATATGCTTTTACTATTTTATTCTACTCTTCAGATCTAATAATGTGCAAGCCAAAATTATCCCAACTCTTAACTTTTTGTTGCTTAACTTTCAGGACTCTATGAATGAGCTGCCTTCTCTGTTGTGCACTGGAATTTACGTAAGTTTCTCTGAAATCCCTAAATGGTCTTGCATTCCAGCAATCTCCACTTTATTTTAGTAATGGGCATGTGACCTCTAAGTAGATGGTAAACTTGATTTTTTTTTTCTGGTTATTCTATTCTGGTTGTTCTATGTCTAACATTATCTTAATCTAATCTAAAGAGAAAAAAATCCATCTCCTTAACTCTTTCTTGGGGGAAAAAGAAAAAAGGCTTTACAGGACTCTTTTCTGAACTGACCCATTCATTCGTTATAGTCACTGATACATTATTTGACCAGTTCACCTATTCATACTTCTATCCTTTCATGTGGTAATTTAAATTTCAAAATTTTACCAGCACACCATTTTGTGTTCTAAGAGAGGAGGGAGAAAAAAAAGGAGCCCAGGGACAGTGATAAATGTGGAGTAAAACTAATATTTCTTTGGCAGCCCATGGGGGAGCTCCTCTCCCATCACCTCAGGGGTCCAGGTTACTCCCACCAGGTGAGACGTGAGCAGTGATGGCTTCCACCTGCTTGTTGCCTGCCCATTACCTGGGCATGGAGCACTTGTCAGCCTTCTCTGCAACATCCAGGGATCCTTCCCTTGCTCCAGAGAGGATATCACATCTGCCTTATGAGACCAGTGTCCTAAGAAAAAATAAATAACCTTGACCATGTGTGGTTATTACAGAATCTAGACCCTCACTTTTGGTGATAATGAATCTCATTATCTCTTAAAATCTCTCAGGAACCTCCAAAGCACTGTTTTGGTTTTTTCTTTCTTTTTAAAGGATCATCTACATGTTTATAGACACACAGTAACCTGAGAAGCAGGGTTTTTAAGGAAGGAGTGATGGTCTGGAGAAAAACAGAGAATATGAAGGTTGAGCTGTCCCCAGACGAAAATGCCCTCTCTAACATCACACAGCTCCAGTACTTTCCTGGGGGAGTACTGGGCTGAAATCCAGTCAAGCCTTTGCAGGGGCTTTGCAGGTATTCAGGGAAAATTCCACCATGGACAGTTGTAAACTAACAAGGAAAGCTCTCCTTACCCAGAGACCCAAGGTAATCACAGTTATGCAGCATTACATCCTTCTACAACTGTCTTTCTTCAGGGCTCAGCTGAGCCCACTGGTCCAGGGGAAAGAGCACAGCCACATCGCTAAATTTCACTGACTCCTGAAATAACAATTTATAGTTTACATGTACATGTGCTTCTGTGTGGCCCTTGGTAGATATCTTTCAAGTTGGACACAATAGTGAGGCAGACAGAAGATAAGGGATGTTAGAATGTGTGGCCAAAAGCTATAACAGAAAGTGAAAACTGTAAGAAACAGACTTTGTCCTTGTAGTTTGGAAAGGCAAAATTACCTATCCTCATGAAAAAAGTAACAGCGAAAGAAACATACGTTCAGTGTATGTGCTTATCTGAGGGTCAGCGGGGCAAAGCTGCCGTCTGCAGGATTGTGGATGAAGTCAGAATCCAGCCAGGTGGAACAGTAAGGGCACTCCCCTGCCTGACTGCTGGGCTGGGACACTGATCTTTTCCTGCCTTCAGACTCAAACTGAAACATCACTCTTCTTGAATCTCAGAACGGAAGGCGGTGGGCTGGAGCTGATACCATAGGCTCTCCTGGTTCTTGGGCTTCCAGACATGGTCTAGAACTAGAACTACACCATCAGATTTCCTGGGTCCCCAGCCTGCTGTGTACAGAGCTGGGGCCTTCTCAGCCTTCATAATCATGGGAGTCAATTCCTTATAATAAATCACACCTATTGGTTCTGTTTCTCTGAAGAACTCTGATTAATACGATCACTGTTAAATGCCATACAGTGTGGATTGATGAAGATTATATGGGCTGAGGTATCAGGATACCTTCCACATGAAGTAAATTTGAACTATATTTTAAATGAAAGGACAGACATCTTTGGTTCTAGCCATGATGGAGTAGTTGCTCTGAGTTTCCCTCTCACTGTAAAAGGACTTAAAAAGCTAGATAAATATACAAACCACTATTTTTACACAGTGGAAAGCAACTTATCCAGGGCTGTGATCCTTAACATAAGCACGTTTTCCTGGTATTCTCTTTGGTGGCATTTCTAGAGCCACAGTGCAGGGGCTACAATCCAGGCAGAGAGCAGTGGTCTTGCTCAATGGAAGGAGAGGGTATCAGAGTCTGGAGCCTTCTTCCAGCACAGCTGGGGTTTGGAGGGCAGGGTGCTAGAGAGGGAGCCCTAAACACCTGTGTGAAAATTGCACTTGGGTCCTTGACTGACACCTGAACTGTGCCTTCACAGAGCTAGACTTGTGAGAACAGCTGTCAGGATACGAGTGGAACAGAAGTTTAGGGGGTCACGCAGTGCTGGTAAGAAAGGATTCCAGCCCTGCCTATGTGCGTGCCCAGGGAGGATGGGGTGACAGGGCATTTAGTTGAGGCCATGCACTTAGAGTTCTATACCTTGTAAAGATATCCTTCAAAAACAAAGGCAGATGTTAACTTGGACTTGAAAAATCAAATGGCCAACAAATGCAAGAGAAATGGAACTTTTCTACCAGAAGAAATAAGTTTTGATAATATCTTTAAATTGGTCTCTTAAGGACTCATAGTGGTCCCCCTAAAAGGATACATTGAAGTCCTAACCCTTAGGACCTCAGAATGTGACCATACTTGAAAATGGGGATTTTTACAGAGGCAATCAGGTTAAAGTGAGATTAGGGTGAGCTAATCCAAAATGGCTTATAAGGGGGAAACCTGGACACAGAGACAGACATGCAGAGGGACAACTATGTGAAGAGACACAGGGGGCCACAGTGTGAAGATAAAGGCAGAGATGCATCCTAAAAACCAAGGAACACAAAAGATGGCCAGCAGAGCATCGGAAGCTGGGGGAGAGGCCCAGAACAGATTCTCCCTTACAGCCCAAAACAGCAAAACATTCGTAGGCCTTGTAAATGGGTATTCTAGGAACAAAATCAGAAGTAAGCAATTCACCTGAGATATCACCTTTAGAAATGAAAGAGGCATTTTTCTCCTTCTCCTCCTCCTCCTGTTCTCAGACTCCTGAGAAGTCACACCTCAAAATTGAGGGCAGAAGTGAGACCACATGCCCCAGCCCACCATCCCCACCCCAAATCGCTACCACCTCAACCACACAGAAAAAACCAGAAATATGCAATGGCCTCCGAGCCTTGACTTGGGCCCTACAAAGAGCCCACACATGATGCTGCAGCTGGGATTTGGGGCACTTGGGACCTCTCCCCAAGTGCCAAAGCTCAGCTCTACCTCCCAGATCTGCCGGAAACAAAAACTTCCTCAGCTTTCCAGTGGAACAGAGCGTGAACTCACCCTTTCTGGGAGGCCAGCCCCAGCACAGCCAGGGAGCCCAGCACCCATCTGAGCCCACTTATATAGAGCCCAGATCACCACACGCAGAATCTTCTCGTTTCCCAATCAAGGCCAGTCCTGCCTGCAGCGCGCTCGGCTCTTTTGGTCCTGACGATAGTAGGAACAGGAAGGACTGGGGAACACAGGACTGTCTGGCCAAGATGTAGCTGAGGGAGAAGCTGGGTGGGCTTCATTCGCTTTTGTTTCTTTCTCCGAAAGTGTACTCTGTAGGTCAGTTATGACCAGGGAAATGTACAAGAATTCTGTTTCTTGATGTGGGTGAGGTTATATCATCAGAGTAAATTACATTTGTTTTACACACTTCTCCGTAACTGTATTCTATTTCACAAATTTAAAAAAATAAAGAAAAAGAATGAACATCCCAGAATTGATTCCATAAATGCAGAGGGCCTGGTAGTGAAGTACTTGAAAGCAGCTGGAAACGTCCTCGACTTTTTGTCTGCTTCCTGTTGAGAACCAGGATAGTGATCATCTGCTGGTGCTCTTGTGGTTTAGGAACGAAATGTCCCAGACCTGCCACCGAGATGCTGTCAGACCTTGAACAATTATTTTATCTGTGTAATTCTCAGTTTCCTATTTTGAAAAATGAAGGTGTTGTTAATGGGGATTAAATGAGATTAGGAAGGAAAAGATTTAGCACCTTGCTACTCAAAATGTGGCTCAGGACCAGAACATCACCAGAGATTGCTAGAGATGCAGAATCTTGGCTCAATTCCACATCAACTGAATAAAAATCCACAGTTTAACAAGGCTCCCAGGTGATTCTACACAACCACCCAGTACATATTAGGACATAGACATAGACCCAGTACATATTAGGACATAGTATTGTTATTTCAAGCTTCTTTATTTAGGTTCATAACTATCTTGGCCTTCACAATTCATGAGGTTAGGGTTTAAATCCTCATTTTAATAACCTAAGGCTCATCCAGGTGAAGTGAAGATCATATAGCTAGTGGGCAGTCATACAGCTAGTCATATTGTTGAAATTCAGGTATTTTACTCCACATTCCATTATCTTTTCAATATATGTTTATGCCTAAAATAAGGAAAAAAATATATGCACCCTTTTATCTTGCCATCAATGTACACACCTTGCCAAAAAATTGTGGAAAAAACACTGAGTTGAAGTCTCACCAGGGAGGTGATCATGGGTCAAAGGGTCAGACAGTGAGGATTCAGAGCCTCTCCTAACCTCTCTAGTCTGGCTCTGTCTTCAGTAGCCCAGTCTGAAGTTTAGTTTGTGGCCCAGGTCAGAGGTTATAAATCAAGTTCATCTGACCCCCAGGCCCAGGTCCAAGCTCCACAAGAACCACTTCCAGAGAAGAAAGAAGGAAATGGTTCTAGAAGCACCTTGAAGAGTGCCCTCCCTAAACCTTTGGCAGAGCAGAAGAATCCCTGGCAGGAGTAGGTCCTAGTTAGCCGGGCCTCCTGCATGTAGTGAGCAAAGCTAGGATAGTATCACCACGTTCACAGGCCACCAGATACTGTGTGACAATGGAAGCTGTGGGTGAACTTTGAAATGAAGAGGTAAGCCAGGGCAAAGGGGCAGGTTTCATAGGGAAATAACTTCATTGTAAGGTGTTGGAGGAGACGTGGTCTTGGAATAAGAGCTCACCAATCCCAGCAGATGAAATACATCTCCACTCCTCCCTAAATATGTACTGACTCTATTTTCTGCTTTCTTTGTCCAGATTCTGGGCTGGTCCTATACCATATGAATTACCCTACCTAATAGACTTTTTTCCCCTTCAATCCCCTTCAAAGCTTTTCCTCTTAGCTATAGAAGCACTGAAAGGTAGTACTGGAGTAAACTGCAAGTTACCTAGATCTTGATTTTTCTTAAATAGCAATAAAATTAGAGTAGAATGAGTAAGATTGTCTAGGACTACATATATTTTTAGTAACAGAATTTAGATGAGAAACTGAGAGGATCCCCTGCCAATATTTTTAGATGAAATGGATGAATTCTTAGAAAACGTCACCAAAATTGACAACAGAAGAAGTGAAAAACCTTTATTTCTTTATTTAAAATTGTTTTTTTAATTCTTTATTTAAACTTGTTTCTAAGTTGAATCCATAATTTTAAATGCAGGGGCCCAGATACCATCACTGATTTATTCTACCAAATATGTAAGGAAGAAGTAACCCAGTCTGACAGAAATTGTTTTAGAAAATTTTTAAAAGGTGAATATTCCCCAGCTTTATTCATTGGCCAGCATTATCTTCATATCGAAACCAAAGAAGGACACATTCTGTAGTGGGGGGTGGGGGACACGGGAAAGGCAGTATGTACAGAGAAGACAAGTGATGATTCTATAGCACCTTACTACACTGGTGGACAGTGACTATAATGGGGTATGTGCGGGGGAGTTGATAATAGGGGGAGTCTAGTAACCATAATGTTGTTCAAGCAATTGTACATTAATGATATCAAAATTAAAAAATTAAAATAAAAAAAACAAAGAAGGATATTATAAGAATGAAACATTAAAGCCAATCTCATTCATGAATAAGAGTTCTAAACAAAATATTAGCAAATAAAATTGGGCAGTGTTTTTTTCCCAGTTTTATTGACTAAGTTAACATACAGAGCTGTGTTAATGTAAAGTATATAGCATAATGACTTAACTTTCATATCTTCTAAAATGATTATCACAGTTAATTTGGTTAACATTCATCATCTCATATAGATACAAAAAAGTGATACTTGAATTTTTAAAAACTATATTGAAGCATGTACAATAAAATGCACAAATCTCAGTGTGCAGCTTGATGAATTTTGGCATGCATATATGACATGTAAAGAGTGTATTTGACATGCTACCTCGAGTGTATAGATTCATGTAACATTTTTTAAAGCAATACTTGTAAAAGATAAGATATCATGGCCAAGTTGGATTTAGTCCAGTAAGGCAGTACTTAACTCTTTAAAAAACTAACACTGAAATGAACTATATTAACAAGATAAGGACCATATCAATGATGCAGAAAATGCATCTGTTACAATCAAAATCCACCCATAATTTTTTAAATTCATGACTTAAAAAATCCTTAGCAAACTAGGAACAGAAGATATCCTATATATTATTGATAATGGACATGTATAAGAAGACTATAGCAAGTATACTAATGTCTCATATTAGGTTCAAATTTTAATATAATACAAGTTTTCTAAAGTTTCTACAAATTGTAAGGAATCACATAACTAATAAGCAGTAAATAGCACTAACTGTGAGCTATGTTTATGGTATTGAAATTTACCTCAAATTTAACAAATAAACTCAAATTTACCCATTTAATAATCACGTCCAGAATTGTTAGTGTCCTTGAATGAGCATATTGTTACTAATGCTTTAGAATCTTTTGAATGATATCGTAACTTTGGCAGTTATTTTAACACTCTCTATTATTAAAGTTTTTAATCTTTGAATACTAGAGTCCCATCCAAATATTCATTAAATGGTAGTGCTTTTAGGGGGCTTAAAAATCCATGAAGACCAATTACTTTGAAGTGGAAATTAGGTGTTACAATATACCTCAAAGACACTTAAACAAATACCAGAATTCACTGTGCAGTTAGTTTCATGGGGAACGCTGCAACATCAGAGCCAACACTGAGAGAATAAAAAGGCAGCATTAGGTACATTCCACAATGGATGTAAATTTATGCTCCCTGAGAATGCATTCTTATTCTACATCGACTCCCGTGGGGATGTTAATATTCAACGATGCAGGTTTTGAGTTTTTCCAGGTCTTTATAAACAAATTATTGTATAAACTGCTCTATTGTTATGAATGAGAGTAAAGT